GAGAATCTTCAGGTTCTCCCGCCTAGTGGCAAGTTTCCATTCGGAATGGTGATTGATGAATCATGATTGTTCGGATTGCTCGCACCTCGAAGTGACGCAATCTTGGAGAACCGAGGAATTGAAGACGAGCAGCGTATTCCTTTCAAGTGCAGATTTGCACGTTCTCGTTGAATCATCTTCTTGAATGCCCGCAAGGCCGCAGTTATGGATGATAACTGGAAAACTTTTCGAGGAAAAGCTGAAGTCATCGCGGGGCGTGAAGGTGAATTCCTTTTCATGGACAGACTGTCACATAAAAAAAAGGCTTCGGCCCAATGACTGGACCAGTTAGCATGACCTCCGAGGATCTATACACTCCAAAAAATGTTGTCAGAAGGTTTCGAACCAACTCCAAGAGAAACAGATTTCGACTCTGTTGCGGTGACCACTTAGCTAAGACAAGTTATATGAACCTCCGAGGAAACTATACATGAGTCAATGTCAAGGTGTGTTCCCATGGGGAAAAAAAATGTCATTTGGCAGGTTTTGAGCCTGCACAGTCCAAGAGGAACAGATTTTGATTCTGTTGCGGTAGTACCACTTAGCTAAGATCAGTTAAGATGCACATCCGACGAAACCATCTATGAGTGAATGTCAAAGTGTGTTCCAATGAGGAAAAAAGGCTTGCGGTAACTACCTGGCTACCAGACCAGTTAAGATGGACCTCCAACGAAACTATCCATGCATGAATCCGGATCCGATAGGAGCAACACTTTGTCGTCGGTGGGTATCCAACCTGCACTAGCAGTCCAATACTTTGGCCAGGGCGAAGTTGACACGAACCTGCGAGGAAGCGTTCCGATCGAAAAAAAAACCCGTCGTTCAGCAAGTTTCGAACCTGCAGTGTACACAATCCAAGAGAAACAGATTTTGATTCTGTTTTGGTAACCACTTGGCTAAGACCAGCTGGATGACCTTTCGATGAAACCGTCCATGAGTGAGTGAATGTCAAGGTAGAGAGAGAAAATTGTCGTCAGCAGGTTTCGAGCCTACGCAGTTCAGAAGAAACAGATTTCGATTCTGTTGTGGGAATCATTTTGGCCAGGACGCTTCGCAGTTGAGATGAGCATCCGAAGAACTGTCCATAAGTGAATGTCAAGGTGTGATTTGTCAGCAGGGTTGAAGACGAGTGGCAATGCATGGCATTCAGCAAAACTGATTACAGTAAACCGTGTATTCAACTGGTATTTAACTGGTATTCAACTGGTATTATTCTAATGGTCATATCGATCATGCCGAATCTGACAATCAGTCTATGAGAACAGTTTCTTGTATGACTTCTTCTCCTTCTCCCTTTTTTCCTTCTTCTTCTGCCTCACTTTTGCGAGCTCTCCCAGGATCGCTGGGTCTTCAGGTGCAAGTTGACTAGCAGCAACAAGATCCGCTTCAGCTTCATCTTCCTGCTTCAGAATAACATGCGCTGACGCCCTACGATAAAGGGCCTTGGCTTTATCTGGGCTGCTCAGCTGCAGACGGTCCAAAGCTCGCGTGGTATTCTTTACCGCAGTTTCGGTGGCTGCTGGTTGCGTGCGTAGCGCAGCGAGTGCCGAATTTAATAAAAGGGGCGCAAGAAGGGATTCGTAAGAGTCCCTAAGCTCCGGTGGAGAGTTCTCCGGTAATACAGGATGCACGTCCAGGTACCTTATCGATTCTGACATTTTGTTGACAGTGCAGGCGAGAAATATTTGCAGGAGTACTCACTGAGGTACGTTTTGAGTGCGAGTTCTATTTGCCCATCCTTGAAGAGCTTGTTACCGAGCTCGCGGATTTTACGTGCAATATCCAGCGCAACCTCGGGGTTCTGCACATCGGAATCATCGTCTTCAGGGTAGTCCTCGTAGTCATCACCAACAGTTGCCTCGGAAGCCACGAGGGAAGGGTCATCCGGTGAGAGAACGCCGCAAGCAGATATATTGATGGGGGAAGTGGGAACATCTCCAGATGCAGTAGGGAAATTTTCAATTGTACGGACTATGCAAAGCGTGGTAAGCAATTCGTGAAAAAAGAAAGACAAGCGCTTGAGCAACACATCATACCTACTGATTTGCCCTTGATAACCTCACCGAAAACCACGTGCTTGCCATCAAGATGGGGTGTTTGGTTCACGGTGATGAAGAATTGCGAGCCATTAGTATCTTTTCCTGCATTTGCCTGAGAAGTTGATTAAAATCACTCTCCTGAATGAAGACGGAGGGGGAATTCTACCATAGACAGCAAGAAAGGTTTCGTGTGTTTCACGGGGAACGCCTCGTCTTCAAATTTCTCTCCGTAAATTGATTCCCCTCCGGTGCCTAAGTCCACAATGAGTTTGTAACATCTAGATGTAGCTCTAGGACGCACCATTTCCCGCCGTGAAGTCACCACCTTGACACATGAACCTGATCCACTGCATTAGCATTCATTGTGACATGAGGTGAAAGCTCATACCCTTTGATTACGCGGTGAAAGCCAGATCCAGCGAAGCAAAGAGGTTTGCCAGACTTTCCGACACCCTTTTCACCCGTACACAATGCACCTGGAAACATTAAAACTCTGACGCGATTGACCGAGGATCTGAGAACTCACGGAAGTTTTCAGCTGTCTTGGGTACCAAGTCCGCGTATAGCGAGAATACGACACGCCCAGTGGGCTTGCCACCGATGGTGATGTCAAAGTAAGCGATAGGGCGCTCTGTAGGTGCTTTAGACATGGCGCGCTTGATGGTAATAAACAAGCGAATTCAAGAACAATCAGTAGGGCTTCAACGTCAACAGCGCTTGTATGTCACGAGATAATAGATCGGATGCTGTAAGAGTGACGAACAGTTGTTTCTGGCAGTTTCGAGAACTGTCATGATATCGATGCGGCCGATACCATCAATTTATAGTAATTTCTCCCAGTGAAAGCAAGTCTAAAACCTGGCTGCATTAATGCTACGGATGACTTCTGGTAGATGTCATTCATACGAGCGCAGTTCAACTCGCACATTTTGTCTGGTTCGAGACTGGATTAATCGATTGCGCGTTCAATTTAATTCTGTCGACTCGGGATCTGGCTAATCAGCGTGTCACGGTGCAGTGACAATGAACCAGAGTGACGCACGTGCGTGCCACTAGTAACCTGAAGACTAACTTGAAGTTGATCAACTCTTTGAAATTTCATGCACATGCCTGAATTTACATCACGGTGGAGAGGACGACGACCTTGTGCGAGAATTTAAGCAATACAGTACGTGTCATCTAGTGCTTATAAGGTATACTTGTCTTCGACTCTTCAAATTTCACACTTCACATGCACAGTTCACAACTTGAATCTGACTTATTTTCAAAATGCAGAGCTCAAACCTGGCTTGCTTCATAGATCTTGAATTCAGTCGGTTCTTCAAACCTCGCTGGTTCCTTGCGCATACTGGCAGGTCCTCAGAATGAAGACAGTGTTTTACTTGATGCATGTCCACAAGGGACGGGCATATACTATCTCTAATGCAGGTAACGCATAGGTCAACTGATCAATATAACAGGGCCAATGCCTAAAAATATGCTTTACTATAAAATTCGTGACCTCAGACTGGCGTGGTTCTCATGCTTCGAAGGGTTTCAGCTCCCAAGCACTAGCAATATAGACTCTTATCTTTCAAGACCGTCTTCTGCAATAGCGACCTTAGGCTTGTTACCTTACTTCTAGTACTTGAATCTGATGGCTTTCAAGGCGTCCAGTGTTGCTTTGCCTGATCTTTACGAGGCCTCAATTGTAGAACTTCAAGATGGTCTAGTCAAAGGACACTTCACTAGTGTTCAACTTGTCAAGGTAGACTCCTGCTCCAGTACACATCTGATGCAGTGCTTAATCAACCACAGGCCTACTTTGGCAGAATCGAGGAAGTCAACTTAAAGGGTCCTGCATTACATGCGGTCATTGAGACTAATCCAATGGCCTTATCACAAGCTGCAGCCCTTGACGATGAACGGAAAAATAAAGGTAGCCGCGGGCCATTGCACGGAATACCATTATTGTTGAAAGATAACATTGCTACGCTGCACGAAGAAGGTGAGATTCTCTGCGTTATATATGCACATGCAATACTAATAATTCGATATCCGGATAAGGAATGAACACCACCGCAGGTATATTCCGTGCTACTGCCTGCCATTTTGCAGATTACAGCTTTTGAGTGTATCCTAGGTTCCTACGCACTGCTGGGTTCTGTTGTTCCTCGAGACGCATTTGCTGCAGCAAAATTGCGTGAAGCTGGGGCTATATTCATAGGAAAAGCGAACCTCTCCGAATGGTCTGGTATGAGAGCTGCGTGGGGTCAACTAAAGGGACAAGTTCCCAATGGCTTGTCGGAGCGTGGGGGACAAACTCTTTCGCCGTACTACCCGAATGCACATCCATCTTCTTCGAGCTCGGGAAGTGGCGTTGCGACGGCCATTGGTTTAGCAGCCGGGTCGCTTGGCTCAGAAACTCATGGCTCCATTGTCTCTCCAAGTAGCAAGAACAATGTTGTGGGCATCAAGCCTACTGTCGGACTGGTATCTCGCTCAGGCGGTAAGGTTTCTAGGATGGCTACCGATTCCCTATCTAATGATGAACATTAGTTGTGCCTATCTCATCTCATCAAGATACTCCTGGCCCAATGTGTCGCTCTGTCGCTGATGCCGCCCTATTGTTGAATTTCATGGCTGGGCCTGATCCTCGAGATGAAGTTACTTTACACCAGCCAGGGATAGTCCCAGACTACGTGAAAGCGCTCGACAAAAACGCCCTCAAAGGCGCTCGTCTTGGAGTGCCTCGTTCCTTCATCCGTAATATCAAGATAATTGAAGAGGCGTTCAATTCATCTCTTGACGTCTTCCGAGCTTTGGGCGCGGAAATCGTCGACCCTGCAGATTTCCCGGATATAGAAGAACTACTGACATCGCAGGCAGAGAAGCGGGTACTGGATGTGGACTTCAAAGTTGATCTTAATAAGTACCTATCAGAACTTGTCGACGTTCCGACAGGCGTCAAGAGTCTCGCTGCTCTGATAGAGTACAACAAGAAACGCGCAGACCTAAATCTTCCACCACCATTCTACAAAGATCAATCGCAGTACGTCGGCTCATATATCACACGCAATATGCTTTTACATACTTATGATGTCTAGATTCATCCAATCGGAAGCCGCACAAGTTGATGACACCTACCTTTCAGCACTAGCCGAAGATTTCGATTTGGGACGCACGAGAGGAATTGATGCCACTCTGGCCCAGTTTAATCTCGATGCCATAATTCTACCGACCGATGCACTGGCGTGGAAACCCGCAGCCATTGCAGGGTATCCATTGATTTCAGGTTAGTGCTTCTTACTGCGACCTCAACGCGACTTGATGTTATCCGATATTTAGTGCCCCTCGGGTTTCAGCCTGATGATGTTGAATTGCT